TGCGCTCGGCCCGAACGACCGAACGTATTCCCAAGGGGTCCCGTACGTTCGGGTATTCGGGTTCGAGCGTTTGGCCCGTCCCGAACGTCGGCTACCCTGTAACCTAAAGATTTATGGATTTGGTATTTTTTGTCAAAAGAACCAAGTACGGAAGATCTCCCGCTTGGTTAGCATGGAGTAGCAGCATTTGGGAGGTCATGGTACAACAAGTTCGTTAAAATGGACATAGTTTATTTTAAACAAAATTGAAACTTCATAAATTGGCCCAATTTAGGTAAAAATTTCAAACTCTTGGGGGTCTGGCATCCTTAAAACGTCGGACCCCTTGGATGTATCTGGACTTAGCTTGCATCCAGGGGATAGGGCGTTTTCAGGACGTCGTATTGTCAGGAGCTAAAAATATCGACCTAAACGAGCCAATTTATGAGTTTTCAATTTCGTGCAAAAAATAAAATATGTCTGTTTTGATGAAATTGTTGTTATGGGTTTAATCCCCACTGAATGCCTAGGATATTCTTGGTGCCAACCATCTGAGATAGTTCAGCTGCTCCCACCATTCCGTATTGGTAGGGTCTTTGGCCAGCACGAGGGTGCATGTGTGTGTGTGTGTGTGTGTGTGTGTGTGTGTGTGTGTGTGTGTGTGTGTGTGTGTGTGTGGATTTCGTGTGGTGTAAGGGAGAGTGCTAACCATAAACATTGTCGTTACTCGATAGGGGTGGGGAAGTAGATAGGATGCACAACTACTGGCAAAATGCTCGGGCTTTGCTTTAGCTGCTCTCCCCCAGCCAGTGGCCTCATCCTACTCTCTGAGCACTGCCGATTAGGGTGGAGGACAACATGCATCCCCTTACCCCACCATTACTTTTTACCCTTTCCTTGCCGAGCCCCTCATAGCGTAGAAACGTACTGGTGGTTTAAACCACCAGTGCTTGGCCCAACTATCGACCACCGAAAAAAATAGAGTAGAGCCGTTTCTAGTCGGATGAATTTGGGTAGTGGCCCGTACTTTTCCTAAAACCGTGGCTTGTTAATGGGCACGACTTTAGGAAGTACTGGTGGTTTAGGGGCTCATCCCACCCCACTTACGGTAAGTAGAAGTAGAAAAGAGACAAAAGAAAGGGGCCGCAGCATTCGGACCGTGAAAGAAAATTTGTACTCCTCCATCCCGTTATTGCAGTAGATATTACGTGGGTGGCGGCGGCCTTTGCTGGGCCGAGTGCAAACTTGGACTTGTTTTCCAGTTTCCAATGGACGTGTGGACCCTAACATCTTCCCCCCCCCCCAAAAAAAAAACACATAAAAACACGCCATCTTTTTGGGAACAGGGTACATACCTGTTCCTTTTCCAAAAACGGCCACTGCTAGCTCCCCACGTTCACTACACGAACACCACGTCTACGACCGTTTCCACATCCCTCTGTTCACACCCAAGCCTCGGGGGTTCAAGGAATAACGTGGGATATGCCGAAAATCGTCAATTTTCGTACCGTAAGTAGGGTGGGACGAGGCCCCACCAGTACCCTGCCCAGCTATTGATGCCGAGCCTAAATCCAGCCTGCACGCCAAAGAAAAACGAGCCAACATGGGCGTGCTTTTGGCAGGCGCCACCAGCCGTTCGGTCCACGCGTATTTGCGTATTTGTTTTTCAAGCGGGGTGGGTACTGGTGGTTTTTTAACTGTGAAAGGCAGCCATGCTTGCGGGGGTCCCCTGTATAGGCTTAGAAGCGGTAGGTAGGTAGAGGAAGATGAAAAAGAAAGGAAAAATTCTGCCCCTCGATCAACGGGTCCTTGGGGCACAAAGTCTGGTGGGAAAAAGCCCCAGTGGTGGTGAGTGAACCACGGGGATTGAGGACTCGTTGGGTGGAAGGCTTCTGTCTATTGGCTGGGATCAGCACCTTCTGGAAACGGGGTCCAGCGTCCCTTACAAGACTGCATCACTTCAGATAAGGGGCCTCGCTGCACTACTCTCGACATGCACAAAAGACAAAAATCATGGCGTTGTATCTTTCCATATTCTAGAGGAAGATTCTCTCTCGTTTTGCCCATTTCGAGAGTACTGCAGCGAGGCCCAAGCACTATTGTCACGTAGTACCAAGCTTAGTGTAGTATCGAGATATAGCAATGCGAGAAATAGCGATACTGGGCCGCGCTCCACTACTCACCACATGCAAAAATGGCCAAAAATATGTTTGGCGGCGCATCTTTCCATGTTCTAGAGAAAATTCATGCTCATTTTGCACATTTGGTGAAATGAATAGGGAAGCGAATGTCAAGGAAGTACCCAACTAAATATAGTGTAGAGATACGCCAATCTTGTCGCCAAAGTGCCAACTACAGCAGAACAATTTTAGTCCGCTGGGGACTACCGTAGTCTGGAAAAGTAACTACGATGCTACACGTGGTGCTGTGAATTTCCGTTCCGTCGATCAATAGAGTGACGTACCGATTTGATTGATTGGTCGCCATTCGAAGAATAACTGGTTTCCTTTCCCCTGGAATTAGCCGAAAGTAGGTACAGTGCTGTCGTTCATCGTGCGCTCGGGCTGAGTGCTACGCAGCGTTTCTCCTAAATGTTGTCTCGAGATTGCCTTGGTTGTCGATGGCGTAGAGGACCCCTGGATTTGCAATCCAGTTCTACGGCTCCTGGTGCCTCGTCGCCGGTAGTTAGCTCATAATCGTCGGCATTGAGTCGTAGAACTGTCCATCATTTTGAAAAAGCAAATCCCCACGAAGGTGCCAATCCTTCGTTTTGCGCGTGCGCTTCTCCTGCCTGTAAGTACACACACACACACACACACACACACACACACACACACACACAGAGAGAGAGAGAGAGAGAGAGAGAGAGAGAGAGGACCTCGTAAGCGCTTGTTCTGTCGATCTCTCTCTCTCTCTCTCTGTCTCTCTCTCTCTCTCTCTGTGCAAACGGACACGAAGATGCTGATGAATGCCGCAGACCTCCCGCAGCGATCGCGATGTCGAGGAATGCGGGAAGTCTAGGTTTTCGGATATACTAAATGTCACTCACACTGACTTGGGTATAATTCACTACTGCAACGCGAATGTTTTCTTTTGCCCATGCAGGGTGTTCTTCCCCCTTTCCCGCGATTTGTCCTCTTCATGTGATCTTTCAATTTTCTCCCACGAGCGAGCGAAAGCAAGGGAGGCGCTGACGCCAAGGACGAACGAGGGGCCCCCACGTCGATTCAAGTTCGTACAGAAGTCGAGTTCTTGTGTATAAGGCGCCCTCGCTCACGCCCACGCCAAGTTGCGGGAGGTTGAAGAAGAAGAGGAGACGACGATATCTTATCGCAGCAGATATGACAATAGCCCGATCGCTCACTTGTTGTGGCATTCCGAAAGCGAGAGCGATGGAGAAGATGAAGGCGAAATCAATGGGAGATGGAGGTGTCCTCTCCCTTGTCCGTCCTCTCTTCATGTTGTTCTTCGCTAGTCTGACGGTAATCTTACTCGATGGGGAGTGCGCCGCTGCGGGCGGAGGCTCCGGGGGCTCGTTTGAAGTGGGTCCTCCGCGCGGGAAGATTGATGAGAGCGTTGTGGTCTCATCTCTGTTCCGGAGATTACTGGCCATTTCGTCTTCCCCCTCTTCCGGCGATGGTGGGGGCAGCCAGTCGCAGCAGGTGATGAGCGATGGGCGCCGCGGCTCGGGGGGGATGAACAGGACGGCACCGGCGAGTGGCGAAAAGTGGTTGTACCTGATTAGTTATCGCAGCCCGGAGGATTTGGAAAGAGCGGAAAAGATATGCGGAGCGACGGCGATCCTGGTGTCGGGGTCCCGGTTTGCGATGCTGTACATGACAGCGGCGGCGGCGGAGAGGCTGATGCGAGACTCCGCTTTCCCCATTGTCCTTCCGGTGCCGCCGTACGTTAAGATCGAGGCATACAGGTTGGCAGAAAGACTGGGGGCGCTGCAGACCGGAGACGGGGGAGGAGGAAAAGAAGGAACAGTGAATGCACTCAAAGCGCTGCTGGCGCCTGGAGCGGGGAAGCGGAGGGCGGTGCAGACGATGGCTCTCAATTGGCAGACAGAACTTCGAGACGTGTTGCGGTTGGCGGATACGGCGGAGCTGACGTGTGCAGCAGAGGATGCGACAGCAATCATGTGCTCGCCCATACCTGATGGAGGACTCACACATGCCTCGGATTGGATGTCGCAGCAGTCGGCGGTGGTGTTCGTAGAAGAGCAAGCCCGCTACAAGGTCTTCAATGAATGGGCGAAGGGAATCATGCAGGTGCGTCAGTCTCGCTCATTTGCACTTTGTCTCTCGCTTTCACGCGCACGTAAGCGAGCGAGCGAGCGAGAGAGAGAGAGAGAGAGAGAGAGAGAGAGAGAGAGAGAGAGAGAGAGAGAGAGAGAGAGAGAGAGAGATGATCTCTGCAGAAGAAAGTCATCGGTATCAGACGAAAACAAGGTCGGTAAATTACTATTGTCGGAGGACGAGACATGTGTACATGTTTTGCAGAGCTCCAAAAGGTTAATGATCTGGGAATGTGTCGCAGCCTTGAATTCTCGAATAGCACAAGAGAAACGCCTACTGTAGTCTCACTGAGGGCGGGATCTGTGTTCCTGTTGTGTTTCCTTTCAGATCGTCGGGAATGTGCCAGAAATCAGATGACGTGCTTGCTCATGTGGCAGAAAACGAGCTTCTGTATTGCTACTGTAGGCCTTCAATGCTGCTTTCCACGGATCGTGGATCGGGAAACAAAGGGCCCACTGCAGCTCAGGGAATGTTTTGGAAGTAGGGGACCGAGTTGCACTCTCTCTCTCTCTCTCTCTCTCTCTCTCTCTCTCTCTCTCTCTCTCTCTCTCTCTCTCTCTCTCTCTCTCTCTCTCTCTCTTTGTCTTTCGCTGTCTGTCCATTTGTTTCTGTTTCTCTCTTCCTCGTCTTGAGTTGGTTCCCTAGTCAATTGTGTACACTTGTCGGTGGAGGCAGGCGTGACAGGGTCCCTGTATCCCGGAAGAAAGAAGACAACACCCATGTGGCTGAATGGTACACACATACGGCTGTTGATGAACAGATCAGGAGTTCGAGTCGTCATGGATGGATTCAGATGTTTACAATAATGTTAGGGGCGACAGGGAAAAAAAAAAAAAAAAAAAACGTCACCTGTCTGCAGGCAATGAAGCAGGATGCGCTGCAAAAGTTGAGCGCCGGTTCTGTACGAGCCGATCACGTTCTAGAGGCAATAGCAGCCGATCACGTTCTAGAGGCAATAGCAGCCGATCACGTTCTAGAGGCAATAGCAGAGGTGATGCTCATTCCGCGAGGTGAGGAACACGTGATAATAGCTCCAGCAAAGGACATCTCGCCTCCTTATCGAGGAAGAGCATATCCCAAGCAATGCTGCGATGCGAAATCGGACTCCCAAATTGCCTTTTTTTCTGTGGAAGGGAGGGGGGAGGGGGGGGGGGGGAAGGAACTCTCGATGGATGGTATTGTGTGCCAGGCTGTGCGCGATCGATACTGACAGCGAGGCGCAATGGGTGTGTTTTGGCATTTGATGCAGGGATGGAACGGAACTGGCGCAATGGTCCGGACGCCAATATTCGACCAAGGACTCAGAGGGGAGGGTGAGGTCATTGGTTTAGCCGATACCGGCATTGATATGCAGGTGAGAAAAGTCTCAGGGCTGGTGATGTAAAGAAGTCTCCTGTGTTTCGCGACAAGGGGCCTCTTCTTCCAGCACTAGCCAAATGGGAGAATTGTGAATCTATCTTGCACGTTCTAGGTGATATATACGTTCAACATTTTCTGCATTTGGCGAATGGTGGAATGAAATGAAATGACCCATGTCCCCGCAGTGCTTTTCTGTCATGCCTCAGCAGTAAGTGAAATGAAATGAAATGAGATGTGATCAATCTATTCCCTCCAGTGCTTCTCTGTCATGCCGCAGGAGTAAAGAATGCCGGCGGAAGAAGATCATTAATTGTTAAAAGTATCGAAAGGTCATCCTACGTATTTTTAAAATGGGGTCGTCGTTGGCCCCCTAGAGGAGGATGTCTTAGGAGAAGGTGTCCAGGGCAGGTACTGGCGGCCCCATGGCACCTGTCAAAGCTTTCTCGTCTTTCGATGATTTGGGGCGAGGGGATTGGGTGGCGTGCGGGGTGGTTCATTCATTGTATGTCAGCGAAAACATATGGGGGTGTGGCTACGTTGGATGGTAAAACCACAAGGTAGGTAACGCTAGACGGGCGCTTTCAGCAAGCTTGGACGGATGCTTCGCGGTCTTTGTCGTAAATTCTAAAGCCGCCGCTCATTATCTTGCTAGTTCGCGCTGATCGTTCTAGGTTATGCGGGGAGAAGAATGGCTGACAGACTGGATCGTTCAGGACGTCCGTTAAAATTGGAACGATACAGAGAGAAGCAACGAGTGAATTGTTGATGATTGGCTCCTTCGCATCGGACAGCGTAATCACAGCATTAGCATGTCGCAGCACGACCGTTGCTGAAAGAAGAGGGTGTGACTGGTTGCTAGGGTGAGGCGATGCAAATAGAAAGTCTCACAGCTGCTGTGAGTGCCTCTGCTACGATGGCAGAACGGGGAAGCGCGGATTAGCCACAAGACCAGTCGGTATGCCGTCTGTTCTCCATGCTCCTCCGCGCGCCGCAGTCTGTCCCTTCGATGGCTCCGAGGGGCCGGATGGGCACCGTCCGATCTGTATGTTTTAAGGATGCAGGACAGCCTAGTAGAGCAGATGACTCTGGTTGCCCAACGGTTTTTTTTTTTTAATTATAAAATTTAAATGCTTGTCATGCTGGCGCAGGGGCTATGCTAATCTTCTCTGTATCGTTACAATTTTTACGGATGGACAACCGTTGGAAATTTTAGTTGAGGCCTCCATGCCTATGCATGAGGAATCGTCAATGGTCATCCACAGAGAGCTCCATACGTGTCCAAACGGTCAGTGCCAGGCTCAGCTGATGCTATGCTCGTGCTTAGGAAGCCTGAACCTGGTAGAAACAAGAGCCAGGTTCCTGCTTTCTTAGCCCGAAACGGGGCACTGGTGGGGCCCTCTGTGGGATGCACGGAGACTGATCCTAAACACAGCTCAAACGTCTGTAAAGCTCAGAAGTTGTTGCACATAATAGACAGAGGAGATGAGGCAACGACTCGCTCAATCGGCCATCTTTGGATTACCACTTGCCCCAACCTCTAAAGCCGCCGCTTCTGGCTTACCTCGAATAGAAGGCACGGTCATTATTGCTGTTTCGAGACTGAAAACCAGATATAAGAATGACCGTGCGTTTTATTCGGGGCGAAATGGTAGTATTTATCTATCAAACACAAAATCTGTATATGTAATTGACTAGCTTCAAGTATGGCCATGGAATTCTGATTTGCATTCATTATCACCAAGCAGTCTGGAATACCGTTTGTAATAATTCCTTCAAAGCATTTTTTCATTTTTTTATAATGCGGCACCTTGCGAATATGTTGTGCTGTATCTAAAGCTTTGAGTGATAAGTTTTCAAAGTGTTGAAAGTGCGCTTGTACATGAAAAATGTAATCTCTCTGCCTTGGTGGGGCGTGCTTGCGAAAGAAACACCCCAAGGTGGTCTTGTCGTCTTTTAAAGTAGATCTTTTCCTGAAAATTTTAGTAGCCGTTTGAATGCTCGGAGTTTTTTCAATCTCACCAGGTCAACTTCAATAGGTAAGTAAGGGAAGGGCTACCGTCTTCACCCGAATAGAACGCCCGGTCATGATCGCAGCATCTAGACAGAAAACTGCCCCAGATACGGCTGTAATGACCGGGCGTTCTATTCTATTCGGGTGAAGACGGTAGTGCTCTATGTTTTAGTTATGGCGACTCTTGGAGGTTGAAGAGGTCCTCTCTTACCCTATGGGGTGGATTCCTGTTCTTTTCAAACAATTCTGTGTAACGGAAGCTGGACCCGTTTTCCAGCACCTGCTGCTCCCCGCGTATAGAACGGAGCCATCCAAGCTTGCCAACCTCTATCTTCAGGGGCTCGTAGCACCCTGAAGGCAGAGGATCTTTGGCCCCGTTCGGTGTTTAAAACAAAACAAAAAAAGGGACAATTTTTGAAATGCCCCTCCCACTTCCATTTATTTGCGGTATGCCCCTTCTACGGCTGACTTTCTCTGTTGCGCCCCTCTGGCAGCGTTTGAATCGTTTGGTTGTGAAATATGTTCAATATGCACCTACCGGTACCCGTTCCAAATTTCCAGTATGCCCCTCCCAGGGCCAGGGGAACGGCCACGGGTGCCACCAACGACCACAGGGGCATGCTGGAAAGTTGCACCCCTCACTGACGGTGGCCTGCACGGAACTTCAGAGGGCCCAGGGGCACGACGGGGTAAATCTGCCGTTGGAGGGGCATACCGCAAATAAATGGAAGTTGGAAGGGTATTTGGAAAATTTTCCCTAAAAATAAACAGGGCCTGTCATATTTTTTTTTAATGTTGTTTATTACTATAAAATTCTGCCGAAGGCCGAGGACCTCACAATTCTACCCAGTGTGTACTATGGCCATTACCCAGCTTCGGCTTGTGCTGGAAACTGGGTCCCGAGTCTCGACATTTCCCACCATGCGCCCTTGGATCTTCAATGAAAATAGCAGTAGACGAGCAAAGGTCACTATGGCTTCCTACGCTGCTTACCTTACAGGCTTGAGCGGTGGACAATAGAGATAGATTCTTTATTTTGTAGGCTAATGCAACAAAATTGCTAAGAAGGAAAAATAATAACAAAATTGCTAAGAATGAAAAAATAATTATTTCAACATACATGTCCTTAGTACATTTAATTTAAATTTCAAATTAATCACATGAACAATGACTCGACCAGTTTTTGATTGAATAACTATGAAAAGATAGGATAAACTGTCGTGTTTCTATCGGAAGAAAAGTCAAAGTTAACAATAAAAGGCTAGTAAACATCAGAAAGATGGGTAGCAGCATAGAAACATGTATTGATGTGCCAAATTGGCTAATACTAGAAGGTTTGCAATCGAAGAAGCACTTTGATAAACAGCAGCTACTTTCAACGGCCTAATCACTGTATGAGTTTTTGCTCGATTAGATAATAGAGATTGGAAAAAGCGGAATAAAAGTAAAGACCAGGCGTGAAGCAAACATACCTCTCTTTTTGACAAACAAAGCCTATTAAACCACCACCACCTCCGAGCCTGTTTTTGCCGACCCTGAATTTCACTGCGCACCGAGTTTTGGCGAGCCTGGGTCCCACTGTGTTTTCTTTTCTGGTACTCGGAATTCAACAACGAAAGGAAAAAAAAAAAAAAAAAGGGAACCCACAATGCTATGGACATCGAAGCAATTGGTGCTACAGGCAACTGTGGTCAAAAGAACAACGGAAAAAAGAAGCAACATTTCTATGGACATGACAGCAGCTGGATACAGAATCTCGAGTGCATGTGAGACTATGCCCACCCAACCAGCGTTACAGCCCCGACAGTTGCAAATCAAAAGAAGCAAAAGAAGAAGAATTAAAAAAAAAGCAACTACTCTATGGACGAGATAGCAGCTGGATACAGAATCTCCAGTGGAAGTGAGAGAATCTCCAGTGGATGTGAGAGTATGCATGCCCTCTTAACGGGTGTTACAGCCCCAGCAGTTGCAAATCAAAAGAGGAATGGCAAAAAAAAAACCAACAACTCTATGTACGAGATAGCAGCTGGATACAGAATGCCTGGTACATGTGAGATTGCACCCTCCATCTAAAAGTGGCAGCCATCCGTGGAATGTGCCCTGCCTCTCGCTGGCAGGGCACTAAAACGGGCAACCAAAAAAAAAGAAAGAACACAGAGCAAAAAATGGAAGTAGCCACAATTCAGGGTAGATGCGTTCCTGGAAGCACTGATGTGAGCACACCTCGCTCACAGCCTTCTCCACTGTCCTTCCTTTCGATTCGGTTGCTTTGTTTTTCTTTTTCTTTTTGTTTTTTTGAAGCGGGCCCACAAGACCCACACATTTTCTTTTGCCAAGCCTCGTCCGACCCCCGAAAAAGTGGGAAAACTGCCAGTTTTCCCATTTTCCCCAAGACTGGCAGAGGCAGTGGTGGTTTAAAGCTGAAGCCCGATTAATCGATTTTTTGCATTTGTGTTTTCCGAAGGACTTTAGACCATTAGTTCACACGAGGCTAAAGTTGGCAAAGCAGCCTTCCAAGCCTCGCAACGACTGCGGCTTTTCAGAGTGGCCTGCCACTTTTGCTACTGGCCTGAGCTCGAAGCTGAGTGCTCTTACCACGTATACTGGTAAGAACAGTACGTAGGTTCGTGTGAACTGGTAGCCACAAAGACTACCACAACAACGCATCCTCCAAAAGACCACCAAGCCTAAAGACATGCAACAACTAGTTATCTGACAAAAATGCAACCCTGAAAAGACCAACAAAATCTACTGTTTAGAAGCCAAACAACATACAACAGCTAGCTTATCTGACCAACGATAATCCCCTCACCTCTATCAGCGCTACCCTCTTATCCGTGCTGTCCAGAAACTGCAGAGAGCCTGAGATTCCATGACGGGTTCCCACCATGCACTCTAGCACTCCGGCCTTATCCTTGCTGTCCAGAAAACTCCAGATTAGTCTGAGATGGCATGACGGGTTTCCTGCCATGAACTGCAGAGAG